TACGTATACACACTGGATTTACTCACTTTTTGGAGGGTTTCTTGGTTTTGGTCCTTTTCTTCCTCGCCTGAAGTGCAAGTACTGTCAGAGAACAGAAGAATTTATTTGAGCATGCATATAATAATCTGCAAGTAGTATGCATGATAGTCTTCTAGTCTACAATACATACTTCTATGTATGTTACAGCTGAAATTAATATCTTTCATGAGTCCAGTATTTTTTATGTCGTCCCAAAACCATTACCAAATCATGGTAATCATAGTGTTTGGTTACACTTTATTTTGATGGTCGAAAAGGGATAGTTCACTTTGAAATTAATTTTTGGTATGTTTTAGCTTACCTCAAGGGCATCCATAGTTTCAATTTTTATATTTTTAGGTCAAACCGTTCTTGTCTGTCAGTCATATAATGGAGGTCTAGGGTCACCACCTCGAAGAGCATGCACAGAGAAGTACAAATTAAACATGATTTAATGACTCGTAAATGTAAGTACACATTGATGGCCTAAGACACGAAACGAACGGTTTGTGTGAGTGTACGTCACACATTGTTTATAGGGAGATTTCATAAGTGTTATCCTTCACCGTGAAGATCTAAACATATTTAGATATACAGGAAATTGCAGACAGAAGCGCCTGCGCCCTCAGATCACTTGGACGTGACTGTGGTTACAAGAGGTAAAAATGATATATATACTGTTCGTTTTCTCGCACAAACCGCTTGTTTCGTGTCTTAGGCCATTAATGTGTACTTACATTTACGAGTCATTAAATCATGTTTAATTTGGACTTCTCTGTGCATGCTCTTCGAGGTGGTGACCATAGACCTCCATTATATTACTGACAAACAAGAACGGTTTGACCTAAAAATATAAAAATTGAAAATACTGTGGAAACAAAGACACCTACATCTTGGATGCCCTTGAGGTAAGATAAAACATATCAAGAATTAATTTCAAAGTGAACTATCCCTTTAAGACATTGTACGAACTATGAGCAACTTTACAACCAAATCGTTCACAACTGTTAGTTTAGGGCTCGGGTTAGTAGAATAAGCTAAAACGTACTTGCAAAATTAAGTTTAAGTCAAAGTGGACCATTGAAAAAATAAAGTGTTAACGTACCTAGTTTTCAAGATAACACACTGTCGTTACTACAGATAATACAGTGGTGACTTCGTTTAAACCAAAACTGTCATCAACATAATATGAACCAAAATATTCGAAAAGCTTGTTATATTGTTCCAATATTGCCTAATATTTACTTCAAGTTTTACAGTAGTCAATAATTTGGCGGTAACCATGATCAGAAAAAAAATATTTTAATTGATTCATTTGTAATTTTTTGGCGGTTTTATCAGTTTGCACTGTTAGCATTTTGACGACACAAACAACATCAAAACGAGAGTTTTCAATAATCACAGCACTGTTTTACTGTCATTAAAATAAACATATATTTTTTGAACGAGCCAAAACAAGAGAAAGTTCAGCTAGCAGAAGCACACACGAACGATGCTACAAGAATAACGATTTAACAACAACCAACTTACCGACAATCAGAAACGAGCAACCTATTATTACGTTACCCATAACAAGCAACAAAAGTCCAGATATTCCACATAATATGAACAGATGTAACGTTACGTTAAAGCTAGAGTAACGTTACTGTTGTTAACGTTATATTAGCAGCAGCTAAACACATGGGCTTTGTCTCTGTCAAACACACTAGCACCTCTCCTAACGCGCCTGTTTACAACACGGATATGACTCAGTCTGAGTGCGATATTTATTTCTATTTACATGTGTATTATTGATACAAACTATTTTGGATGACAGTAATTAAGTCGTTTTGATGCTCACCTTTCCTTTCCATGCTGCACCGGCGGCTAAGAGCTCAGATTCTCTCACATGTAACGGTCCCGCGCATGCGCACAAAACTTGCCAAACAACAACTGAACCAAACAACAGAAGTACAGTATCACACCCACATGTACACACGACACGAGTCCCCGCATAGGGAGATGTCAAACAGTCGAGGTATAGTTGTTGCGTAAACAAGGGAGCATTTAAACCACACTGTAATTGGTCTCTTGTATAGTATAGTATAGTATAGTATAGTATAGTATAGTATAGTATAGTATAGTATAGTATAGTATAGTATAGTATAGTATACATTCAGCCAACGACATAAAATAAATATTAAATCAGCAGAAAAGCTATTACATAGTTAATAATACAATAGCTTTAAAGACAGATATGTTGTGGTAGATGTATTTATTGCATCATTCAGACAAAAAAAGCATTCTTCTCAAATCAGGATGCTATTGTGACAACTTGCCCCAGATGCATGTTGTGCTATTCGGGCACGTTGTCACACAGTTAATTTTATTTATTTATTTTTCTTCCCGGTGCTACAATAGCGAGAAAATACAAACACACATTGTATTTTGCATACATTTTACTCTCATCACCTTATTTTACTAATTTCTTTGAGTGTACCTTTGGTGTCACGAGAGGTTAAAACATGTCTTATAATTGCAATGGTTTGTGGTAATCTTCAATACATATTTTTATTTAACATTATCCCACAACTTGTACTATGAGAAATTACCACTTGGTGGCAGTGCTTCCAAAGAATAGTTTGTCCTGATGACGCAACTCCACATTTATTTAAAATGTAGTATTTATTGTTTTAAAATATAAAACCGTTATGTGCAAAAGAAATACAAAAGAATGAGTGTTGTGAAAAATAATTGCCTTTATTTCAGTATAGCAGTGGTTGTTCACAGACCACATAACTTATGGGTGACTAAAGAAAAAATGGTTAGATGCACAAAAAAGTGATACAATGATCTCTTTTCTATGTAAAATGGTTCCATGCGACAAACTGAAATATTTTGCTGCTCTGATTGACACGTTTAGTGATTCTCCACTCCTCGGGAAACTGTAAAATGCGCATAAATACACACCCCTCACATATAACAATACATGCTCAACACAGAAAATATTGCTGAATAAAATTAAGTGATAATATACAGTGAAAAAGAAAACACCTTAAAAACAATCTGATACAATAAGTTAGATGCCGGCTGCGCTTGAGAGTCTGGGCTGTTAAATCAAGATCAACGGAATAGCAGAGAGTATTGGCTCAGGTTCTTTCATTGTTGCAAACATGAACTTCCAGGCTGTACATCTTTCCCAGGGCAAACAATAATAAAGGGGAATAATCATTTTATCGTGGGCCATAATGCAACCGTCTCTCGCTCGCAAAGTTTTTCTGTTGACAATTCCTTTTTCACACCCATTTCTCTTCATTTACATAAATAATAAATGAAGGAAAATGTCAGGGAGAGAAACTACGCTCTAGTCTAGCTAGATGATCAGCTGCCTTTAACATGGAGTTAATTCTGGGAAAAAGCAGGCAGATAAAAAGGATGGATCGCACAAAACCAGTTAAAAACATGTCCAAATCCCATTTAACCCCAAAATAAAATAAAATAAAATACATTTTTATATATATATAAAAAGGAAGCATATCTTTAAAACCTTTTGCATTTTGACATGACTTTCATGATTTAAAAAAAAAAAAAAAATACATTATTGTCAATGCCGAGTCCCATTACCGCAACATAAAGCATTACAAGATGGACAAAATAATGTTCCATTGAAATAATAAATCTAATTTTTGTTGCATTACGGTAATGAGTCTCCGAGTCTCATTACCGCAACACAGTATTAGAGGATTTTTTTTTTTATTTAAAATTTAAATCTATAAAGCATTACAACAAATATTATCATGATGGACAAAATAATGTTCCACTGAAATAATAAATCTAATTTTTGTTGCATTACGGTAATGAGTCTCACAAGTCTCATTACCGCAACACAGTATTAGAGGATTTTTTTTTTTATTTAAAATTTAAATCTATAAAGCATTACAACAAATATTATCATGATGGACAAAATAATGTTCCACTGAAATAATAAATCTAATTTTTGTTGCATTACGGTAATGAGTCTCACAAGTCTCATTACCGCAACACAGTATTAGAGGATTTTTTTTAATTTAAAATTTAAATCTATAAAGCATTACAACAAATATTATCATGACGGACAAAATAATGTTCCATTGAAATAATAAATCCAATTTTTGTTGCATTACGGTAATGAGTCTCCGAGTCTCATTACCGCAATACAGTATCAGAGGATTTTTTTAAATTAAAATTTAAATCTATAAAGCATTACAACAAAATATTATCATGATGGACAAAATAATGTTCCATTGAAATAATAAATCAAATTTTTGTCCAGTGCATAAGAGCAATGAGATTTTGTTGCATTACGGTAATGAGCACCCAGTCGTGAGGTAAAATGAATGAATCATTAATATATTAACAATATAATAACATTATTATTGGTTCTCAAAATAGCTGTTTTCTCTTTTTTCTTCTGATTTTGGGTTTGTCTATTCTAAAGAGGATTTGCCCATTTTAATGAATTCTTGCACTGAGCACCAATATCTAAATATTTTCCCATATTATATATTTCCGTGTATTGATATTTCGTGACTGTTCTCGATGCAGTGGGCAGAAGAACACAGCGTCCGTTTACATTCTACACACGGCACGAAATATTAATTACAATCTCTTTACGTGTTTAGATTCACTCTTTAGTTGCTATTTATAACGCGGGTCACATTCTGTGATGTGTGCTTCGCTGCAAATACTAAATAAAACTGTTGGTGCACATTATTTCCATGTATATACAGCTGTGCCATTTTATTTACATATCTAAAACTTAGTAGTTCGGAAGTAAACGTTTCACTTCCCCAGAGAAAGAACATAAAATGTTTAAAATGCGTTTTGTTTTTCATGAGAATGCACATTTTTCTCTAATTTTTAAAAAAAGCAGTTGATTTTACTGGGGCACAATGCACAAAACATTACATTCTCTGTGTCCTTTAGGAACGTTTGCATGTGTTTTTCCCTCTCATTTTGACGGAGCGTGTATGAAGGCATGGATAAGAACACGGGGAGCCAGCACTTGATGATGGCAGGCACTTGAATGTCATTTTCCTGTACGCTTGATTCTCCTCACGACTCCATCTCGTCTCCGTCGAACATTGGAGGTTCGAAGCTCACCACCTCCTCGTACGTGAGTCCTGTGGGCAAAGACACCGACTGTTGAAAGCACTAGCAACAAGAGCAGGGCGCAGAGGTCGTTCAGTAAAATGGCTTACGTTTCCACTCCTCGATCTCGAGATCGCGGCTCTCGAAGCTCTGGTCGTACGGTTCTGCCTCGGGCTCGTCGTCTGGGTCGTGATACTGGGAGAAGTACGGGTGCGCGAGAGACTCTGATGCAGTGATGCGTTTATCCGTGTCCAGAACCAGCATCTTCTCCAGCAGGTCCACAGCTGAAACACAAAATACAAGCAGCAATTATAATCACAGAAGGGTTTATGAGCGAGTACAGGAAACACTAGAAATGGAAACCAATTGTGTCATTATTAAAGTTGAAAAGAAATTAAGGTTTTTGATGAAAACATTCCAGGATTTTTCTCCATATAATGGACTTCAATGGGAACCAAACGGTTCAAGGTCCAAATGAGAGTTTCAGTGCAGCTTCAAAGGGCTTTAAACAACACCAGATGATGAATAAGGGTCTTATCAAGCGAAACGATCGCTCATTTCATAAATAAATAAAAAAGTTTAAGTCTTATAAGCTCAAATGCTCGCCTTGCTCTGTTCTGTGATGAGCGTTCGTGACTCTCCTGTTCGAACTCGTTCATCAAAATGAACAAATCTTTTTTCGAGTCATTTGGTTCGTTTGACTCGAAAAAGATTTGTTCATTTTGATATACGAGTTGAAATGACCAAGGTTTCTTTTGATAAGACCCGTCTGGTGTCGTTTAAAGCCCTTTGAACAGTTTGCACTGAAACTCTCATTTGGACCTTGAACCGTTTGGTTCCCATTGAAGTCCATTATATGGAGAAAAATCCTGGAATGTTTTCATCAAAAACCTTAATTTCTTTTCGACTGAAGAAAGAAAGACGTGGACATCTTGGATGACATGAGGGTGAGTAAATTATCAGCAAAAGTTGTTTTTTTTTAAAGTTAACTACTCCTTTAATGTCTTAATGGTCACATTTGATTAATTTATTGCATCATTGCAGAATAAAACAAAAACGGTAACACTTTACGATAAGGTTCATTAGTTAACATTAGTAAATGCATTAACTAACGATGAGCAATGCATTAGTTACAGTGTTTATTAATCTTTGTTAATGTTAGTTAATACAAATACCGCTGTTCATTGTGCGTTCATGTTAGTTCACAGTCCATTAACTAATGTTAATTAATACAACCTTTGATTTTAATAACATATTAGTAAATGTTGGAATTAATATTAACTAAGATTAATAAATGCTTAAGAATTATTGTTCATTCTTAGTACATGTTAACTAATGAACCTTATTGTAAAGTGTTACCACAAAAACGTATTCACCCCATAAGTACTAGTGCAAATTAATCAGAATTTATTGATTTTATTTTTTATATTTCTAATAATTACAAATTGGGTGGTCAGTAGAATAAAATAAATGCGATTAATGTGTTTTGACTGAAAAGAATGGATAATGACTCTGTAAATTACTCTTAAAGTCACACATTGACGTTATTTCTCGAGTCATGTGGGTCGGTTCTGAAAGATGTCTGGATTTCAGCCGAACGGAGCGGAGGGTTTTCATCAGGCCATGGGTTGTATAGAAAGGCAGAATTGTTACCTAATGGATTTGCGCCAATAAACACATCTGCAAAGCTCCTCTTGGGCATATACGGAAGAGAGTTGATATAGTTCCTCGCCTGTTGATTAAAAAAATAACATTAAAATATTACACACAATTAAAAAGGAGTCAAAATAAGGGGACAGTAAAGCAAACAAAGATGGCAAAGAGAAAAGCATGACAAGAACAGAACGCTGCAGGGATGACGGATTTCTGAAGGCCGAAACCCGGGAACATGTTAGCATTATCCTGAAGTCTTGGTTAAATGCCTGAAATAAGGTCTGTGGTGAACACAAGATCAGTTTTATTCTACAACATAAAACACATCACTTAAACCTCGCTTGTGATTTTGTGAAAGCTAACTAGTCTCGAAAAAGGCAATTGTTAACAAGTGTCTAAATGGGACTACATAGAGTAAAAGTTGATCCACTTTTTAAACTATTATAACTTAAAATAGAAAAATAAAGAGAAGCCGGAAGTTTAGTGATGGTGCCGTTGAAGTCATGTGACTGTGGCGTAGTTCGTTTATAGCCTACGTTTAGCTTTTTACTTCTACAAATTGAATCGAAGTCGTATTCATTTGTTAACCGTATTCTGGACAAATGTGGGCAAAATAGTTTTGATTTACTTTTAAAAAATACTTCCCTTGATCTGAGCGGTACAAGACGAGGCTACTTTTTCTAAGTTTGCCTCCCGAACACACACATTTTTTTTTTGGACTCAATTCTACAATGTTAAGTGGGTGAAAAAACCCCCCCAAAAAGGTCAAAAATGGGCACCCATAGAAATGAATGGGAAAAACTGTCATTTAGAGCAATCTAAAATAAGCCAAAATAAGAAATAAGTCACTTCATCTTTAGGTTTTAGCTCTAAGAACTTATTGGAATGATATTTTAATGTGGTTAAAAAATTAAAAAATAAAATAAAACAAAAAACACAGAAAATGTGGTACTTTTTGAAGTAAATAAATTCAAAAACACCCCCAAAATAAAAAAACACACCATAAATGGATAGACAAAACTTTGTCAAAGACAGTGATATAACATTTATAATACCGTAAATAAAAATTAGGATCACACCGGAGTCCTCTGTGCCCACATTTGTCCACAATTACAGGATTAAGGGCTATAAAGTGAATACGGTTTGAGGACTAGGATTATCATGGTAAATAAAACATGCAAGAATTATGAACTTATTTTCTGCAATTGAGAAAAAAAAAAACCTACCCTTTGTTTTGTGATGCGAACTTATGGGACGGCCTACAAAAATACATAATCCCTGCGGCGCTCTATTGAGATTACATTATCTTAATACACAGTTCCTCAAAAATATTTGCACACTAAAACTACATAAATGTCACTGATTTTTTATGGCATTCAGATATTTTTAGGTGCAATTTTCCATTTCCGTTGAAATCTCGATCAGGACTTGATGTTTTCCAGTGGACCTCCGACAATACAGACCAGCGCTACTGCATGTGAAACACTGCGTCTATTTTTTACATTGTATGTTCGAGCTTAAGCAGTCTAAATCTCACTGCATGCCTGGGTTTAAAACCAGTGGCGGCGCTCGCCTTAAAGCTCAGGACTGTGGGCATCTACTAAAGGCCAAGTATATAAGAAAAGCAGGCAGTAGTTGGGAAAGGGGGACGTTGGGAGTGGCGTGGAAAATTAAAAATGACCCAGGGCAAACATGGGGGTAAACTGAGCCAGTCATTCCAGAGCGGCCGGATTTTCTGCCACTTTCACCGGTTCGGAGAGGGTCCGTGCGCTCACCTCGTGGCTCGGCATCCGGCTTATTAGAGAGGCCGGCGGGGTTCCCGTCAGTCGCATTATCTGCTGAAGCTGGTTTATATCTTGGGGAACCCAGGTCAAGGGGTGTACGGTTAAAATACACTCAAACAGGAGAACAATGCAGCTGCGGTTGCTTTACTTAATGCTGAGATCATTTAAGAAGAGATGCATTTACTTGAAAAGCAATGACAACTAAAATATATTTTTAATAAAATATTGCATTTATTATAAATGATTTTAATCATGTACATCATTATTTGTATAAAGATGCATGTGACTTGTAAACTTCACGAAATAGATGTGACGCTCTGATGATTCGTTTACTGGTGTGGGGGCGGGGCAACCTGTCACTCACATGAGATCCACCAATAGCAAACCACAACCATCCACGGACAAAATCAAGCCCCGTCTATTTATTCTTATTCCAGAAGACATTTTACTGGGATATATACGGCACAATATGGGATCGCAAATGTGCTTAACCTTCAAATGGTCTTCGTTTCCTTCGTTACCTCTGGGCTTCGTGGTCTATACGACCCCAACAATTGATTGAGTAATTGTACAAAAAATATACATTTTTAATCATACAAATAATTCAAAAGCGTTCGTGACTCTCCTGTTCGAACTCGCTCATCAAAATGAACGATTCTTTTTTCGTGCCGTTCGTGGTTCATTCAACGGACGAATCGGGAAAAGATTTGTTCATTTTGATAAACGAGTTTGAACAGGAGAGTCACGAACGCTCATCACAGAACAGAGCAAGGCGAGCATTTGTGCTTATAAAACTTAAACTTTGTTATTTATTTCTGAAATGAGCGATCGTTTCGCTTGATAAGACCCTTATTCATCATCTGGAATCGTTTAAAGCCCTTTGAACAGTTTGCACTGAAACTCTCATTTGGACCTTGAACCGTTTGGTTCCCACTGAAGTCCATTATATGGAGAAAATCCTGGAATGTTTTCATCAAAAACCTTAATTTCTTTTCGACTGAAGAAAGAAAGACGTGGACATCTTGGATGAGATGGGGGGTGAGTAAATTATCAGCAAAAGATTTTTTAAAAAGTGAACTACTCCTTTAAGGCTAACATATTCATACTAAAACCCCCAAAACGTACTAAAATTTCAGAAAACAAAACCTAATGTCTTATGTCACTTTGCTTTTCAAGTAAATGCATCATGAGTATCATTTAGACATCTGTATTGAAAAACGAGAGAAATAAAAACAAGCAAGTGCATGCACCCCGTGTTAATCAATCCGGGGTTAAGAAAGACACAGGAAATACAACAGGAAGTGCAGGACGCAGGAGAGAAAGCCATTCGTACACACTCATGGGCTGATTTTGCAAATTCATCTGCCAGCTGTCTGACTACAACTGACTATTTTAAGGTGATTGCATAACTAGTACTTTATGCCAGTGAAAGAAAAAGAAAAAAAAACGATGCGACATGCATGAAGTGTGATCGGGGTGAGTGAAGAAAAGCAGAACAGATCGACATTGCGACACAGAGGGAGTCAAACTCAGGCAGAACAGAAACACTCACAGACTCCGAAGAGACTTTCATCAAGAACTCTGGCCCTGGGGTCCCGACGAGCATCATGATAAGCTTCAACTGATCAATATCTTTAAGAGCAAAATAAAGGAAAATGCAGGGAATGGGGAGACTATGAAAGCAGGGACTGGAGGTGATAACAAAATGATGTTTTAAACCAAAGAATTAAAACAGCACAGGAAAATGGGATAAAGTTAGAAATAAAAACTGGTTCAAAGCCAACATGCATTCTGCAATGATCATGTATGGAGCTTACAAGACTTCCAGATTCTTCAATTGCTTCATTAGCATAGCAGAAGTGAGTTAGCACACTTACCTGACTGAACTACAGTGTTGGGGTAATGCGAGTATCGTAATCAGATTACTTTTTCAAGTAACGTAAAGAAATGCATTACTTTTAAAGGTGCATTGCGCAAGTCTCTGAGTTTTTGCAGAACTACGCCCCCTCTGGCGACAAGCGAAACTGCAACCTCACGCTTCCACGAGCTGTTCATTACCAAAGCAGCATCAGCCACACAAATCTTGTGTTTACAGAGTACAGTCCCCTGTCATGTATGGGAAAAACTGGTATTTTTAACATGAAATGTTGAACAATGCACCTTTAAATTTACAAAAGTTACTTTTTCAAACACACCGCTCCTGTCGCATGTTCAGAGAGAAATCATGAGTAAGCGTAGAGGCGTTGTGTGCGCTGTGTGTGTGAACATGACGGTTATCTAGATTAAATGTGAATACATCAACTCATCCCGCTTGGACAAAAACAGATTCAGCATTTCTCAATTAATAAAAACAGTGAAATGCAAATTCACAATATTACACAAACCTGCAATAATTAAATTAAATACTTGTATTTAATCTCACTTTAACCATACAAATAACCAAAAATGACTTTAGTTTTAACATAACATGGGTTTCTTTTCATTTTTACTGCTAAAGAACGCGTTTTTAATTGTCATTGCGATCAGAAAGACAGAAAACATTGAAAGGTTTGAGTGGCGCCCTCTACCGTACAGATGTGAATTTGCATTTCCTTCAGCCTGAAGCTCATTCATTTCACTATTGGCAAAAAACTGAACTTTTGTTTTTTTTTTATCAAAAAACAAACAGGCAAGCCGTGAAAAAGTAACACAAAAGTAACAATGCAGTATATTCCATAAAAAGTAACCAAGTAATGCAATTAGTTACTTTTTAGGGAGGAATGGAATATTGTAACGGATTCCTTTTAAAAGTAACGTTCCCCAACACGTTGAGTGAAGCAGCACACAACATACGAGTTAATGCAACAGCATGACAGGCTTTATGCTTTGTGATGGGATGCAATGACCATGAGCGTACAACAAAATCAAAGCAGCTTCATTAAGGAGATTTGTGTGCCGCGGTATATGACACAGCCTGCGTTTACATGCATAACCTTTTCTAATTAAAGGGATAGTTGATTTTGAAATAAATTTTTGGTATGTTTTATCTTACCTCAAGGGCATCCAAGATGTACTGTAGGTGTCTTTGTTTCCACAGTATTTTCAATTTTGATATTTTTAGGTCAAACCGTTCTTGTCTGTCAGTCATATAATGGAGGTCTATGGTCACCACCTCAAAGAGCATGCACAGAGAAGTCCAAATTAAACATGATTTAATGACTCAGTACACATTGATGGCCTAAGACACGAAACGAGCAGTTTGTGTGAGAAAACGAACAGTATTTATATCGTTTTTACCTCTTGTAACCACAGCCACGTCCAAGTGATCTGAGGTTTGTGGCTGTGATTACAAGAGGTAAAACGATATAAATACTGTTCGTTTTCACACAAACCGCTCGTTTCGTGTCTTAGGCCATCAATGTGTACTGAGTCATTAAATCTGGTTTAATTTGGACTTCTCTGTGCATGCTCTTTGAGGTGGTGACCATAGACCTCCATTATATGACTGACAAACAAGAACGGTTTGACCTAAAAATATCAAAATTGAAACTACTGTGGAAACAAAGACACCTACATCTTGGATGCCCTTGAGGTAAGCTAAAACATACCAAAAATTAATTTCAAAGTGAACTATCCCTTTAAGGTCCATATTTTAATTGGACAGTAGCATTTAGTAGTATTTTTACTTTGTTACAGTAGTACTAAAGTACATTTTTCAACTTTCACTTTATTCCAAAGCATAATATTGCACTTTTACTTCACGTTTTTTATAAAAACATGTCACTCCTCATTATTTTGCAGTGAAGTCGTCCTCACCTGCTCAAGTGATGTCCGTAAACAAACTGATTCTTTTTAATGAACCTGAATCAGTACGCAAATGAAAATGATTCAAATGATTCAGTCAGAGTGAGTCTAAAGTTAACGATTCACTGAATTCACAATTCTGACTCAAAATGAGCCAAGAACGGGAGATCCTCAGAGCTAGAATGTGGCTGATGGCGTGGAAAGTTATTAATGCCGAATTTAATCATTTATTTTTGTAAATGAACATTACATTTAACATATTTGACTGTTTGTTAAATAAATCTGCTGTAAAAGGCATTTGCATAAAGTCCTTGAGTGTGGATATGTCCACATTACCGGGTAGAAAAACTAGACATTTATGTTGGATGTTATTTGTCAACATATATTTACACACATTTTGTTATTTTCATCCCTTAATTATCAGTAATTATCAGCAGTAGGCTAGTGTACGACAAGTTTTGGTAACAAAATAAAATGTTCTGTCTGTTTTTCCATCATGTTTCCCGAGCTGCTTTCATTTGGTTATCTATGCAAACTTTCACTAGCTCTTTTGCAGCATCACACGGCACGCTAAAAACAAGCTAACTTCATAAATACACGTTCTGTGTGAATACTAGCCCCAGTACATGTTTTAATTTCAGTAATTCTAAGTAACTACATAATATTATTAGCCCTATTATTATATAGTATTTATAATATATGAAATTATTTATCATTAAAATCCTAAATAACAAACAAGAGCTTGATGGTTTTCAAGATGTCATTAAGTTATTTTTTAAATGTTTTTGATATCTTCTCAAGGCTGCATTAAATTGATCAAAAATACAGTTAAAATATTACAATTTAAAAGAACTGTTTTCTATTTGAATACATTATAAAATTTAATTTATTCCTGTGATCAAAGCTGAATTTTCAGCATCATTACTCCAGTTACATGATCCTTCAAAAATGAGTGTAATATGTTGATTTGAATGATGCTCAACATTTCTCATTATTATCAATGTTGGAAAAAACAGTGATACATTTTTTCATTTTTTATTTAAAATATATATATTTGTAACTTTATACATTTCTTTACTGTTACTTTTGATCAATTTAATGCATCCTTGCTGAATAAAAGTGTTAATTTAAAATATATATATATATATATATAAATATTGTTCTAACTCCAAACATTTGAGTGAAAGGCAAAGGTTAACTGCCTGTGTCTACACCAATACCACTCAGAAATATATATTTTTTTAATATACAAGACATATAAGAGATATATAACAGTTGGTTAAGGTGGATTTTTCAAATAAAGTTTACATGACCCAAAATTCTGAATAATACAGGCATTTGCCAGCAGCCCAAATCTTCTAGAAACCAGTATATCGTCTTATTTTTGTTATGGTTGATGGGTTACAATCTGAACATTCTTACATTGGAATATGACCAAATTCTGATTAATGTAAGAATATTCTTATGCATGCAAACGCAGTTCATCTGAAAGCGTGCAAATGTGTTTAATAAATGAACGTGAGCTACAGTAAAGTGGGCTAGCTTTACACTGTTCCAGATCCACACGGACTTCAACTCAAATCTGGCACAGGATGATGTTACTGAGCAGCACAAACACTCAAAGGTAAGAAAACAGTCGAAGAAGAAAGAGAGGTGTCTTAGTTTGTGCAAAGACTAAAAAGAGCAAGCAAGATGATGATGACCGATCGGGGCGGTCCAGTTAGAAACAAGCACAAATGCAGCCAGTCAACATGCAGCTCACACACACAAGCTTTAGTGCATCAGAACATTTGTGTGTTGTGCACTTTAAAATCTGTTTTTGTGGATTTAAAGTAGTTTGGCAAAAAATGTGCAGCAATTTCTAACAATGAAAGTAAATTTTTAATTTTTCTTTTTTTTTGGCATCTCAATGTGGTCCTGTTCAATATCATACAGAAAACTGTACACTGTTTTCTGAAAATTTCTGTTCTGTAATGTTGTTTTCCCCTGTGTGCATACATGTATGAATTATATCATTGGTTATTAGGTGTACTTTGAGTCTCTAAGTGTCTTTTTTGGGAAACAAACCTAAATTTAACTTTGGAAAAATATCTTTGTGAGAATCTTTGTAGCGAATGATGACAAAAATGAACACGTTAATCAAGACAAATGATTACATTAATAACCATACATTAATGGATTAATCACGATAAAATACTGTTCATCTATTGACAGCCCTAATATACACGTTTACTTATTTAAATGAATCAGTGCGGATTGGAATGAATAATAATTGCATTTCTGTAATATATCAGTTGCAGGATTGTAGGTGCACAGTGTAGATTTGTGAAAGTCACCTGACACTCAAGCACACACAAATTGAGTGTTAACTAATATTAACGAATGCGGTTTTACACACTATTATAATACCAAATAACTACTTTATCCAAACCTATCCGTTCGCAGACTTCTTTGAAATGCAGATCACACTTCCTTTCTTGAAAGGCCGAGACCTCATTTAATGTGTGAGTGTGTGTGTGTTTGATTCGACGACCTTGTGAAGTAGAACAGAAGCAGCAACGCATTAATATTCCCCACGCTACGTCCTTCAAGACGGAGTAAAGTTCATGTTTTTGTCAACAGGGCCGCCAGGCGGTGTGACTCACTGATTCATTTCCCTCAGGATCACGGCCTCGCTCTATGAATTAGGCCCGGCTGACACACTTACAGATCGGGAGGAGGGAGTGGGGCTAAAGGGGTATTTCCAGGAAGAGCGGTTTTGTGCAGGGCATGAATGATGGGGAAAGGATACGATCGGTGCCGGGAAACAGAGTCCGTCCTGTGAGGAGCTCGGCCATTATGCAGCCCACCGACCAGATGTCCACTACAACACAAAACAAAAACCCTCTTCTCATTGGTGGAAACAAAATACATTCGGTTAAAGACAATGCAATAATAACTTTATTAATAAATGTGTGTTAGAAATAGAGCCAGACCGATATATCGGCCAGCCGATATTAGACATTTTCCAAACTATCGGTATCGGCAGTTATAATGGCCGATAAATGAATATTTAAAAAAATAAAATAAAAACGGACAAAACATGCTTCAATCATCTCTCCTTGGCCTGTTAAATTGAAAATGTATGTTTTTTTGCAGTATGACGTTATCTATTGCTAAATTATGGCTCATTATAGACTAGCTAACCCGACATTGTAATTATAAGGTAGCTTATAAGGCAATGTTGGGACCAATTATTATTTTATTTATCAGAACTTTAATATATTTTGATGTTCCTCTGTTCTGTTGTGTCAAAAGAAACAAGTTCCTTTTTAAAATGCATTATCATATTATTTTAGTTAAAACTCATAAACTACAAATAACTATGTTAGGGAAATCTGTTAATGGTTTGTTGCGCGTTTCTGAGAAAAAAAATATATATATATATATATATTGGAATATCGGATTTTAAAACCAAAAAATATTTGTATCGGTATCGGCCTTCAAAATCCTTTATCGGTCGGGCTCTAGTTAGAAATCAGGAATAGTGAGAGTTTTTCATCTTCAAACCTAACTTCAATCCAGTCTGGCTAGTGCGCTTCCCATAATGTTCAGAGTGACGGTCTTTTGTGGCTGTTCGAAGTTCGAACACATGAGCGTTTACACTACGAAATCAATCCGGGCGAATGCGTTTGACGACGTCTGAAAGTGGACAAGCTCAAAACTAGGGATGGGCTCAAAAAATGTTTTTTTTTCCGATTAAATTTTAAAAATTAAAAATGTGGTCGATTCAAAATCGATTCTCAACGGCCACGAATCGTTATTTCCGTTTCGACAAACATTATAATGAAACAGTAATGGATTCACTCACTAGTTCTTAAAGTGAACGCAGCCATATGTGACTGCCATTAATTTTGTGGTCAGAACAACATAATATAGCATTAATTGAAAGGAATACGAATTAATAGCCTATTTAATTCAGTCAGGACTAAAAGACTATCGAGTTTTATTTTACATTGGATTACTGTATTCAGTTTCTGTAGTATTTCTGACCTATACCAAAAACTTTTCTTTTTGTCTCTTTATTTGTCTCTTTATTCTATTGTATTTATTTGTGCTACGTTTTTCAATTTAATTCAAGCTTCCATGTGTTGCATAAACTCTTAACAAAAAAAATACCCCACATTTAGGTGATATCAATGTAATAAAAAATGTCTAAAAAAAGATAACTGATATTTATTTACCCATCTTAAACTTAAAATCCTGTTTGATCAAGGCGTGTGACTGTTAATACAACCCATTTTCACCATCAATTTGGCATCTTGCATCATCCTGTCTATTCATTGTATGCATTTAGTGTACCTAAAATAAAAAGAGTTTAATATACAGGTTTGTAGCTCTTAATTTCTTTGGACATAAGTTTACAAGAGGTTAATTAATACACTGTTCTTTTATAAATATGGATTTGTATTACATCTATATTCATTATAGTCGAATCGAGAATCGAATCGAATTGAGAGCTTGTGAATCGAAATCGAATCTAATTTGAACATCTGAATCGATACCCAGCCCTACTCAAAACCTTTTAGACCCCGTTTACATCTGTATTATTTAGTGCCATCCACTTGTGATCCGATCGACCAAAACGGATATAAACGGCATAAAATTCCGTAATGATAGAAACTATGGTGAGAAAGCTGCAATGCGCATTCATTTTCAACAATTAATAATACTATTGATTATTAATACTTTCGATGTAATTACAAAAAAATTACAGCTTTTTAACTGTTATAGTATTTATTTATTTTTTTAATTAACTTTTATAGTAAGTTTTAATTATTTTATTACGTGCTTTTTCATTTTTTTGATACAGCTTTAATTTTTTATTTCAGTTTTTGTTAAAAAAAAAAATTTCCGCAGTCATCACAAATAATTTTAGCTTTAAGTTTTTCAATCCAATATATTTATACTTTACTTTATTTCAATCACTAAAAAAAACAATTTTAATAGTTGTGAGGAGTTCATTATTTTGCTTGTACTTCTATAAAGTTACCACAAATGTTATTTTAGGAATTTTTTTAGGTTTTCGTCCCAAATTAACATAAACGTAAACTTTTAACTTGTCAGATATGCAACTGTTATACGATCAACAAACGTGGAAATACTTCACAAATGTAATAAATCTCTGTTTTTAACCAATAAGAGTTGAATCAATAAACAAAAATCGTAACAACAAAAACTTTAAACCACCAAGCATTTTTGCTAATTAAGGCCACTTGGGAGGGGAAAATGGTACTAACCAATAACATTACCCACTTAATATATCAAATCCCATCACAACTGAATATTCAGCCAGAAATAATACACAACATGAAAGTTCAATGACTTGTGAATGTCGTTTCATGTTGTCTTCCGTTACAAAATGTGATGAATTATACAAACACACAAGAGAGGATTCTGGGTAATGCTGACCTGTCATGTTGTAGTGCATCCAGTTGAGCATGATCTCTGGTGCGCGGTACCATCGGGTGGCAACGTATCCCGTCATCTCATCGTCCGTCAGCCGGGCCAAACCAAAGTCCAAAATCTGAGCACGGATATCATAAGAAGCGTTAGTCATAAACTAGAGCGCTCATATTGCCCGACTATAAACCCACTGTTGGTCAACAGAGGATAATAATAACAGATGTGACGGTGGAAAAAGCATCAGATGATGAGGATCTTGGCAAACAGAGCACACTCTCACCTTCAGTTCACAGTCTTCATTTACAGCCAAGTTACCGGGTTTAAGATCCTGCACGATAGAAAAAGGTGAGCAAATAGATTGAATAAGTGAGAATCACTTTAGATTTGCATCATGTTTTACACACTTTCATGCACTGATAAACATCATCCTGGGAGCTAACATGAGGCCACCACAGAAAAAAACCTCTCATTATAAACCATAAAGGTGTTTACACAAGCAGCGGTGCAGATGAAGCCCTAAAACCAAATCTGTGTACCTCAGCAAACCTGCAATAAAACTACGGCTCCGAACTAATGAGAAAAAAACTCATATCCGTACTGACACAAATACGTTTGGATCAAATCAGTTTAAAATTCTCACTGCCATTAATCTAGCGATTTGTGTGTGTGTTTATAATGCATTTAACACACCAGCCCCACCCCAGACCTATGTAGGTCATCTTACACTTCATAAAGCAGAGCAACAACTCACTGCGTGATAGAATAGAGTTAGACGGCCCGAAACTTCAAGATATCAGGGCAAAAATGCCCTTGTACGAGTTTTTATCTAATATTTACTATATTTATAAAAGTTCATATTAGGGCTGGGTGATAAATATCGATTTCTCGATATTAATCGATTCTCATTTTTATGAACCGATATCGATTCTTAAATCTCAAGAATCGATTAGTCATCCTGTTTCATTTGAATGAATGGATCATTGTATCGCGGCTGCGCGCATCCAAAAAATCGCAATAATCTTTGTCCTTTGTTACTATTGATATGAAACAAAGTCTCAAATTTCAAATTACGTCCATTTTCTATAGAAATTCAAAAACATAAATAGCGTTTTGGCGCTGTGGCGTGAGATCGCTCTGGAGAAGCAGCAGCGCTGATCTCTCTTCCGGGTTAATAATACCAGTCACAGCGCCAAATAAACATGAATGAGCATCTGAAAGTGTGTTAAAGATAGAGGACAACTTATCCAAATCCGTATCATGTCACATTGATTCGCTCAATCAGTGTTTCAACCGTGGAAAGACGTCAGTTAAACAGCTTGTAATCAATGTCATCGTCATATTTACCTCAGAAAACCCACATGAACTCGTTAGTCAGCTAGAAAAAAATAACTCTAGAGAGGAGCATTTTGCTAAATATATACACCATATTACATATGCATTATAATCTTAATGTTCTTCAATATTTAATGCATATTTCAATAAATCTGGCAAGTTTTTATGACAGCCACCATTTAAATGTTTATATTTAATAAAATATTCTTCTTATAAAAATAAATAAAAGTGTAATTTAAGTGTTTTTATAGCTACAAAACAGTTCATTATTACCTTCATATTAGGCTAATGAAGCCTATAGGCTACAACTAGACTCCCATAGTTTACAGCATTAGTTGAGAGATTTGCTTTCCTTGAGAAAAATTGCCATTTATTGTTACTGATATCAAAAATAATTAATATTGAATCGAAATCGAATCGAATTGTGAAATATGTGTCAATACCCAGCCCTAGTTTATATGAAATCTAGACGTTCTTTGTTGAATCAAATCAAATATTTTTTGGCCTGTCGCTATATCGGTCTGGCTCTAGTTCCTAATAGTCCTTTAGGTGAGTGTATAATATGTTGTATGAATAATGAAGTGTAGTTATGGACAGAAAGCGTGGTGTACTCACTCTGTGGATGATGTCTGCTGAGTGAATGTACTGTGTGGAGAAAAGACAGATTGTTAAACGTCCGACACATCATCACATTACACAAGACCAGTCTTCACAATACACAAGTGTTACAAACCTTACACAGTTAGCTTTTAAAACAAATTCACAGAGAATAAATTATAGTAATTGTCCAATTATTCAACAGAAGAGTTAAAGGAAAACTTATAGCCACAGTGTACAAGAAGTAGAGACGGATATTTTCTTCTGGGTTATGACACGCATCTGAGTGAAGGAAAAATGTATCGGATGGACTCGGATCTGGATGCGAGTTAGCAGTCGATTGGAAGAAAGGAAAGGGATTTCATTGGAAAAAGTCCAGCAAACGTAACCAGAGGGACGTCGTTTCAATAAAAGATTAAGTTGTGACATTTTGATTAAGAAACTGTCACGATTCCGGTCTTGTGTTTTCCTTGTTTTGTGTGGACTTTAGTTATTTCCTGTTCCGTGCCATGTTTTGTAGTCCTTTGTAGTTTTTCTTGTTGATGAGTTCCCCCAGGTGTTTCTGATTAGCCACACCCCCTTGTTCCCTTCTTTAGCTTGTTTGTCTGTGTATTTAAACATCTGTGCTTCAGTTGTTGGGGGTCTAAACACGGGAACAAGGGGGTGTGGCTAATCAGAAACGCCTGGGGGAACTCATCAACAAGAAAAACTACAAAGGACTACAAAACATGGCACGGAACAGGAAATAACTAAAGTCCACACAAAACAAGGAAAACACAAGACAGGAATCGTGACAGAAACAAGGTCAAAAAGAAACGCATTCACAGATTAATTGTTCACGACAAGATCAATAAGCTGCATTTAAAAAATAGATAAAGTGAATATCCATTTCCTGCTAGCTTTAATATTGATGAACTCTATTTGTGGTGTTGGTACTTTGTTGATTGACCACAGAGAATAACTGTAAAGTAAAACTGTCCAACAAGTGCATTACAGTAAACACATTTTATGTTCCTATAGATAAACTGAGGGATTAGTCAAAATCATATGATGTGCAAAATCTAATATTACAATATGAGTGATTTATACAGTACAGGTACTTTTGAAACTGAACCCCTAAATGTAAACCAAGTAATAATAAAGGTCTACTTTTTAATAATCTAGAGCTAATAATATCTAATTATAATAATATAATTATTTGATTTTTAATAATCTAATATAATAATATTATATTTAATAATATGTGATTAATTAAAAAAATAATAATTAAGTCTGGCATCAGTCCAAAAAAAGTTTCAAACTATTTAACAATAATCAAAGTAAAAATTAAAAGATTAAAAGCAAGATTTAGAACAGTTATAGATTATAAGACTGGATATATAGACAAATGTGCTTGCAATTCATGTGAATACTGAATATGTAAGAATATTATGTGTGAAGTTGTAATCTTTGGCAACTGTAAACAACAAATCAAAACATCAGTCCCATTAAAGCTGTCTACAGTTTAAGTGTCTGTCTGCCACATTATAGATTTATTTATTATTATGCCACGGATATATGCCTCAGTATAACCCGTACAGCCACAGTTGTTGTCAATAACCCAGAATATTCCTTTAAGCTCACATTACACTGATCAATTACAGCAAAGTAGCAGTGCCAAGAGTGGACAGGGCCAAACCTTCAGTCCTCGAAGGATCTGATAAATGAGGAACTGGACGTGATCGTCTGTCAGCTTCTGGCACTTGACAATATTGTTGAGGTCGGCTCCCATCAGGTGAGTCACCAGATACCTGTTGAACAAAGTCATCATGACACAGCAACTCCACAGATCATGACACTGAAGAGTGAAGACGAAAGAGGAGTGCGAGTTAGTGATACAAATTGCAAAATGAACACATTTTTGGGCTGAATGAAAAACTTAAATGTATAAAAAAGCTGAAATATAATGTTTACTCTGAAGACATGAGTGTGCATTCATGCTTTTGTCAAGAATCAACTCAGTAACTATTCAGTGAAAATAGTTTCCAATTGAGTGTAGCTTTCATGGGGCAAATTCCTACTGTTATGTCATATATTATCATAATATATCATGATCAATTTTACTTTTATAAATCATGCATCAAATATCAACGCTGTTTACGTTGTAAAAACAGTGCAGCACTTCCGGGTTCTACGGCAGAACGCCGCCTCATTATTGGCCCACGCTGTTTACAACATTAAAGGGATAGTTCACTTTGAAATTAATTTTTGGTGTGTTTTATCTTACCTCAACGGCATCCAAGATGTAGGAGTCTTTGTTTCCGCAGTATTTTCAATTTTGATATTTTTAGGTCAAACCGTTCGTGTCTGTCAGTCATATAATGGAGGTCTATGGTCACCACCTCAAAGAATGACTCGAAACTCTGACTCTTTAATGACTCGTAAATGTAAGTACACACTGATGGCCTAAGACACGAAACGAGCGGTTTGTGTGAGAAAACGAACAGTATTTATATCGTTTTTACCTCTTGTAATCACAGCCACGTCCAAGTGATCTGAGGTCGAGGGCGCTTCGGTCTGAGCAAGCCCTGGAAAGCGCCGGAAGTGATCTCTCACGCGGTTGCGGAAAAAAAACAAACCATGATATATCGAAATCGTCTTCCATTGTGATTTCCTGTATATCTAAATATGTTTAGATCTTCACAGTGAAGGGTAACACTTCTGAAATCTCTGTGTAAACAATGAGTGACGTACACGCGCGAGAGATCACTTCCGGCGCTTTCTGGCACGCTCGCGCAGACCGAAGCGCCCTCGTGCTCAGATCACTTGGACGTGACTGTGATTACAAGAGGTAAAAACGATATAAATAGTGTTCGTTTTCTCACACAAACCGCTCGTTTCGTGTCTTAGACTTCTCTGTGCATGCTCTTTGAGGTGGTGACCATAGACCTCCATTATATGACTGACAGACAGGAACGGTTTGACCTAAAAATATCAAAATTGAATGACTGATCGTTTCGCTTGATAAGACCCTTATTCATCGTCTGGTGTCGTTTAAAGCCCTTTGAAGCTGCACTGAAACTCTCATTTGGACCTTGAACAGTTTGGTTCCCATTGAAGTCCATTATATGGAGAAAATCCTGGAATGTTTATTAAAAACCTTAATTTCTTTTCGACTGAAGAAAGAAAGACGTGGACATCTTGGATGACATGGGGGTGAGTAAATTATCAGCAAAAGTTTTTTTTTAAAGTGAACGACTCCTTTAAGGTTGATCTACTGTAGTCGCATGGACTATTTCACTACCTTTCTGGCCCTTGAAAGTGGTAGTTGCGTTGTAGTCTATGGAGGATCAGAAAGCTCTCGGGTTCTGAACATGAACAAAGGTCTTACAGGTTTGAGTAATTAATGACAGAATTTGAATATTAGGGTGTACTATCACTTTAACCTAGAACACATACAGTACAGTACACCCAATCCGCTTGTGTAACGTGTCTGGGCCGCCCGCCGAACGCCCTGCTGAACTGTGGAAGGAATCCAAGAGCCACTCATTTGACCCGGCCATGAGCCCTATCATTAACCTTTGCTAATCTGCACTCTCGTCAGCACGAGGGGCGAGTTAACCAGACCGTAGTGAAAATCTCCCGAGCAGAGTCGTCTACATAGCAGATACATGCGGTTCAGAAATATCTCCTCCCTCTTGCCCCCGAGCTCTGCTCTCACACTCGTTCTCCAAGAGATTTTCGGGGTTGAGGTATTTATAGGAGTATTATAGTATTCTTAGCTCTTGTTTCCATGCATCTTGCAGTGCTTGTGCAAGCGTTCGATGCAAATAGCACAGCGAGACCCTTCCTCCAGTGTTTGCTCCTCTTCACAACCAAACACAACTCACACTGGTGCTCTTGTTCCAGGGAAACTCGCGGTGCGCTTTTTCCTCTCTCCCAGCAGTCGTGACCTCAGACGGCTCTAAAGTGAACTATACTGAGACTGAGCTCAACAGTTGGACAGGAACAGTCCTTAAAGAACCCCTGAGATTAAAACGGGACCTTTATGACGATTAGCTTCGATCGAATGTTCTTGCCTTATGTTCTTGCGGCTTTGCATCAATGGCCCAGATTTTTACAATGTTTTCTATACAAGCCAAGCCACGGGTGTCACACATCCGGGATCGTCTTGTTCCAGGTTACACACTGTTCGTCCCTGACCGTGTGGTTAGTAATCAAGGGTAGCCAGGTTTCAATATTTCACTTTGCTTTTGTAAACCGTTGAAACACAGAAGAGGCATTTAATGCTCAGACGTGGCACAAATGAATATAAAACTGGCGGGATTTAATCTGGCTTTCATGCTGCATTATGCCTCTACACAATCACAGAGGAGCCTTAAAGGAACAGTTCACCCAAAAATGGAGACTATCCCATAATTCACTCGCCCTCGAGCCATTCTTTTTTCGGTCGAAAACAATCAGTGTTATATAAAATGATATCCTGGCTCTCCCCAGCTTTGTAATGGCATTGAATAGAGCTCGACTTTTTGAAGCTTCAAAAAGCGCATTCATCCATCATAAAACCCCAGAGGGTTAATAACGAAGGGTTAATAATCTCCAGAAGGTTAATAAAGCTTCTGTGATGGGTTTTAGTAAGAAAAATATACATATTTAAAACTTTTTATATAGGAAGATGAGTGACTCATTGATGGTTAATGTTCTTACCAGTATCTTATTAATAACTAGGGATGCACCGATATGAAAATTTTGGCCGATACCGCTAACTCTTTATATTTGAAAACCGATAACCGATATATCGGCCGATAAACTTAAATCCAAATTTGTATCTAATTTTGAGAGCCTGATTACAAAAACAAAAGTCTCACAATTAAATCCATGTCCATGTTATAGTGTTGTATAGCCGATATGACAGATTTGCGCTGCACATGTTGAACCGTATTTTCATTTTTTGAAGAGATTTCAATCATATTTCAAGAAATTCAAAAACACAAACAGTGCTCAACAAGTGTCTCAGCTGAAGGGAATAATACATTATTTATCGGCTTTAATATATCGGCCACATTTTCTTACCAGGCCGATAACGATAACATTAAAAATGAACATATATCGGTCGATACCGATATGCTGGCCGATATATCGTGCATCCCTATTAATAACCTCTTATTATGAGGTTTATAACAATAATTGGGGAAATAGAAGTGTGCAACTTTGCAATTAATATTAATGTGAACTTTAAATTTCAGCCACATATTTCATAATAATGGAATTTAACAATAATATAAAGAAATGCAGTAGTGAGTTATGTCGAGTTTTGCATGCAAATATAGATAAAACAAACATGCATCAGGAACAGTGTTTCGGTATAATGGCAAAATATTTTTTCCAAGTCAGACCACCATAAAATGATGCATGACGCTAAAGAATTAGTGTTGATACACTAGATTCTAATATTCACAACATTAAAATATATGAAATTATCATATGATGGTTGAGCTCCAGAAAATATCAGCATGAGTCAAAAGTGAACATTTAAAAAAAATGTAATGATCGTACTTTTTTTCTATTAATAACTAAATAATTAATCATTATATTCTACCCTAATATTATAGGTATATGTGTGCATTAAGCTTACAAAGCAAGTAAGTGACGCACAAAAATTATTAGTAGGATGATTAATTGGCCCAAATTTCATAATTACAACATCTCATAACATAAGCCAAGGCAATCATTTTTTTTATCTCTAATTCCCTGCATGAGCGATTATTCTTTTGTTTGTGTTGTGATTATTCTGAGAGGCAGATATATGAGGCACTAACAGTTTGCAGGTTATTACCTCTGTGCCACGAGGAAATTATGCTGAGCGCATGAAGCCTGTTGCCATGGTAACTACGGATATTCCCAGCCACGGCTCGCGGAGCAGAGCTCGACGGGATGTAAACGCTGCTGCTTTCTGATTATCGCTTTGACGACTGGACGCGAGGTGCTCGAGCGCTTCCGGACCCAACGCACGCCGCATCATCAGGGCTGCATCTAATCAAGCTTTTATTGAGCAATGCAGGCTTGTGAAGGAGACACCTACACATCCGATAATTAGATGGGCCGCACACGACTACGCCTGAGTAATTACTGAAGTGTGCCACTTCATACTGCGTTATCCTTTTCATGCCACATCCCATAATGCCACACAGAACACAGTCTTTCCAGAAAAACAGGGTTTTTTAGTGATTGTTGCGAGCAAAAATCCTTGATTATGCGGCCCGTTTTCTTAAAAAATGAGATGGAATATGCGGGATATTTATGCAATTTTATGCGACGAACTTGCAAAAATTGCAGGAACTTGAAAAAAATGATGAAAAAGAGAAGAAAAAAAAAAGTGATTCCTAACACTGTTCTCACTAGGCTAATGTAAAGAGTCATTTCTTCTTACTCGCATATACTGTACATCACAGAAAGTGCTGGAATATTTAAAGCTACACTGTGTGATTTTTACCCCCATCTGTTCCTCTCAATTCCGATTTCGTTTTAACTCCTACGGTGGCCGATGTAGTCCAAGATTAACATGGCTTCCAGTTCGACCTCGTCCATGAGCGTTAACTCAAACGTAAACGCGAAAGGCGAAGCTTGAATTAACGGGTATGTCCCTCTTTGGCTAATGTACTTTCAAGATGGAGGGGCAACATGGCGACCGACATTAGAACCCTTACCCGTATGTATTTCCAATGTATTTTTATTATCACGAGAATATTTTATTACTTGAACGAAGCCAATATACATTAATGAGCTCATATATTTTTGAAAGAAAGTGTTTTTAGCTAAGAATAAACTAAAAGAGATACACAGTGTAGCTTTAAGATCTTGTTTTATTTCAGACCTACATCAAACTTACAAAACATTGATGGGTCAAACAAGTTCTGTTGCTAATATAAAGGGATGAAGTCGAAGAAGTCGACAACTATATCGTGAAGAGGTACAATATCGGGTATAAACATGTTTCATGAACATAATGTTTCAGAAGTGGTGTGATGGCAAGTGCAGGGTGGCCAGAAATGTGCCTGATAGGATGAAAAAGGTTCACATGAACTCATTAACCGTCTAGAAATGAACCAAATACTCACACGTCATTGAATTCTTCTAGACTGGTCGCGGGCGAGAACACATCTAGAAGACCAATTACCTGCAACAAGGACAAGACACATTATAAGATTAAGGTCAAATCATTCAAAGAAGTGTTTTTGCTCTATTCCATGAGTGTACACTTCAACCGAGTACACATACTGAACAAACTGTACTATAAACACATTATACAAGAAAACAAGCAGCACTTGATCATCTGAGTTGTTTTCTGCTGTAAGCGTGCGGCCCATTGCGGTTCTCCTCAGAGGAAACGGCACACAGAGTGAGAGGTGTTGCTTCCACTTGTGAACATCCTCTGCTAGACTCATTTATACTTTGTGTGGGCATCACTTTATCATTGATCTCTCTCTCTCTCTCTCTCTCTCTCAGAAGGTACATGTTATACTGGTTAAACCGTTGATGCACTTCTGATCCAGTTATTTTAAGAAAAAAGGTTGAACAAGTTGCAACAGAAGCAAGCTCAACTGATTTTGTATCCTCACTATGTCCTGAGTAAGAAAACAAAAACCCCGAAGAATCCCATTAGGGGAAAGTTTCGAAAAGACCCAAATATGGCACACATTCACTCTTTCTCTCACGTGAACCTTTAGATATCATCATGAAAGTTGGTCGAGTTGATTACTTGCATCAAGACAAACAAAAAATGTATTACAAGTTTTTGGAAATTGTTTGTTAACATGGACAATCTAATTACGTATGTGCTAATTTGCATAAATACCACAATAGATCTAAACATTGGGTATAGCAGGTGAAAATGTCTTGAAGAATCTTGTTGACCCCCATTTTGGCTTAAAATGACTATTCTGCCCATGGAAACATTCATACCTTCTCAGTGTTTCAGGCAAAATGACGACTATTAATTACACACTTGTTTTTTGAAAGGCTGCATTATTTGATCAAAAATACAGTTAAAAAGATAATTTTTTAAAAAAATATTACAATCTAAAATAACTGCTTTCTATTTTAATATAGGCTATTTTAAAATGTTTTTCCTGTAATCATAGCGTAATATTCAGCATCATTACTCCAGTCTTCAGTGTCGCATGATCCTTCAGAAATCACTCTAATATGATGATTTGCTGCTATTATCAATGTTGAAAAGTTGTGCTGCTTCATATTTTTGTCAAAACGTGATACTTTTTTAGTTTTAGTTGACGAAAAGTCTTTGCATTTTTTGCCAACTTTTAGTCATTGCTTTTAGCCAAACTGCAGTGAAACTATTTAGTCTTTAGACAGAACGTGTCATATTCTCTCTTGGCCAATCGATTAAGCTTATTTAAGAAATTATTGACATTGCACCTTTTCCATTAAGGGACAATATTTTGTTTGTTGAATCATTAAACCAAATGACTCGGAAAAAGATTCGTTCATTCTGATGAACGAGTTCGAATAGGAGAGTCACGAACGTGCATCACAGAACAGAGCAAGGCGAGCATTTGATCTTATAAAACTTAAACTTTGTTATTTATTTATTAAATGAGCGATCGTTTCGCTTGATAAGACCCTTATTCATCGTCTGGAATCGTTTAAAGCCCTTTGAACAGTTTGCACTGAAACTGTCTTTTGGACCTTGAACCGTTTGGTTCCCATTGAAGTCCATTATATGGAGAAAAATCCTGGAAAGTTTATCAAAAATTTCTTTTCGACTGAAGAAAGAAAGACATGGACATCTTGGATGACATGGGGGTGAGTAAATTATCAGCAAAAGTTTTTTTCAAAAGTGAACTACTCCTTTAAACAACTGATTTGTCCAACACTGAACTCAAGAGACATAAATCGGAAACGCTTTACAATAAGGTTCCATTTATTAAAGTCTAGTTAACTACATTAGTTAATATTCTATTAATATTAGTTTCTATGTGGATTTACTCCATGACAAAACCACCCCAGTCATTCTAGAAGGATTCATTCTTTCCTAATAGAGCTATTCAAGTCATCTGGTGAAATTGCGCTATTTTATTTTTCTGCGATATAAAAACAATGTCATTTTTTAACAATATCGTGCGGCCTTAATCCTCGCTAAGTGTTTTCTATACAGAGATATAGACATCGGTAAGTATCGGTATCGGCCACAACAGCACTATAAATACCGGTTATCGGTATCAAACATAACAGCACTATAAATATTGGTTATCGTATCGGCCACAACAGCACTATTAATTTCGGCCATAACAGCACTATTAATATCGGTTATCGGTATCGAACATAACAGCACTATAAATATCAGTTATCGGTATCGACCATAACAGCACTATAAATATCGGTTATCGGTATCGACCATAACAGCACTATAAATATCGGTTATCGGGCAAAACAGCACAATTAATTTCGGCCATAACAGCACTTTTACTATCGGTTATCGGTATTGACCATAACAGCACTATTAATATCGGTTATCGATATCAAACTTAACCCCCTGAGCCCGACGGCGTCGTCGACGATGCCACACGTCACCTCCGATAAATGTTTACATAACTCGATGACAGATTTATCGATTTTCTTACCGTTTTTTCCAGCAGAAAGCTAACGAGCTAGCCATCACGGGGGTGTCTTTCGGGTCTTTCTAGCCTTTACAGAAGGTTTTCTATCCAGCCTGGAACTTGTGCTTCCTTTCAGAGGTTTTCAGCAATAAATCCAAACGCTTTATGTCAAACTTTGATAATCTTGAAGCCCATAATTCATAAATATTCGGTCATTTTTGCCGCTAGCTCGATGCTAGCGGACATCCTGGATATCACGTGATGTTTTCACGTGATGGTTTTTGACCAATTACAGGCTGATCCGTTGTAAACATTGGTGTGCGTCATTACGCATGAACCAAGCGCTGATATAGTGTAGAGAGATAGAGAGACTCACGGAGACGCGCGATTCACAGAGAAACACAGCGAAATGGACGTAAATAAAGCGCTGGTCTATTTTGGTGCATTGCAGGATGAAGGATTTTCAGGAGAACAGAGCTTTTTGACAGATGAGGAACTAGATTACCAGGATAGACCCAGCTGAAGTGCCATTTATTTATTTACTGTAAAAAAGTATTATAGTAGTATAAATGTATTATAAAAGAATAAAAAGAACATAATAAATAAAAGAATAAATAAAATAGAAATGCAAAACCTGTGATGTGGCCCTCTGTGTGATTGCTGATAGGAACTGTTTTGAGGCTTGGCACCAGTGAATTTCATGAGGCCCCAAACGCCTGGACTTCTTTTGGAAAAATGTCAATATTTTTTGTTCTGTACAAGTTATAATGTTTATTCCTGTGCTCCAGGACTCCAAAGACATGAACAAACTATTTTCCAGAGGAAAATTGCTTAGCTTTTATTTATTTGTGTGTGATTTCAATAAATAATTGAGTGATTCCATTTCCGATTTATTTTTTCATTTGTCTTTATGGTCCCATAACTTATTTTACATTCAGGTGACATCAATGTAACACAAATATGCTGAAAGTTCAATTTGTCCTGAAAAAAAAGAGGTGTGTCAATTGTCTGTGCACCAAAGGGTTGATATTTTACAAGCTTTTTTAGTAAATGACACCAGACGGAAAATTTATTTTAAAAATACCCTTAGGTCTCAGAGGGTTAACAGCACTATAAATATCGGTTATCGGTATCGGCCATAACATCAATATTAATATCGGTTATCGGTATCGGCCATAACAGCACTATTAATATCGGTTATCGGTACCAGCCACAACAGCACTATCAATTTCGGTTATCGGTATCGGCCATAATAGCACTATTAATATCGGTATCGAACATAACAGAACTATTAATATCGGTTATCGATATCGAACATAACAGCACTATAAATATCGGTTATCGGTATCGGCCATAACATCACTATTAATATCGGTTATCGGTATCGGCCATAACATCATTATTAATATCGGTTATCGGTATCGGCCATCACAGCACTATTAATATTGGTTATCGTATCGGCCATAACAGCACTATTAATATCGGTTATCGGTATCGGCCATAACAGCACTATTAATATCGGTTATCGTATCGGCCATAACAGCACTATTAATATCGGTTATCGGTATCGGCCATAACATCACTATTAATATCGGTTATCGGTATCAAACATAACAGCACTATAAATATCGGTTATCGGGCACAACTGCACTATAAATTTCGGCCATAACAGCACTACTAATATCGGTTATCGGTATCGCCCATAACAGCACTATTAATATCGGTATCGTCCATAACAGCACTATTAATATCGGTTATCGGTATCGTCACAACAGCACTATTAATATCGGTATCGGCCATAACAGCACTATCAATATCGGTTATCGTATCGAACATAACAGCACTATTAATATCAGTTATCGGTATCGGCCATAACAGCACTATTAATATCAGTTATCGGTATCGGCCACAACAGCACTATCAATATCGGTTATCGTTATCGGCCACAATAGCACTATTAATATCGGTATCGAACATAACAGCACTATAAATATCGGTTATCGATATCGAACATAACAGCACTATTAATATCGGTTACCGGTATCGGCCATAACAGCACTATTAATATCGGTTATCGATATTGGCCACAAATTTTCACATCAGTGCATCAATAGTAAGAACAAAAACTCGCAGCTCGTGTGTCAGTTGATGCCACTGTTTTCAATATGAAAAAGGGTGATTTGAGGGTTATTAAGCATTCACATCTGAGACAGAGAGACAGAGCCAGGGAACCTGAAAGTGCGTGCATGAAGGAAAGAGAGAGAGAGAGGAACAGAGAGCGAGTGGAATAGAGAGCGAGTAGGTGGCTATGATCCAGCATAGAGTTTCACCCACGCTCAAACAGAGGCAGATTCGTGGACTCTGGCCAGAAGGCAAAAAAATAAATAAATGAAGGGTGTTTTCTATGCAAAAACATGGTGAGTGCCTTGACAAAAGCAGGCAATGAATAACATCGCATAGGAACTACTGCATGCCTGCTGAAAAAACAGCAGCACTTTTGACCTTTGACCTCGGCATTTTGAACACAGCATACAAAGTTTGGTCACAAAACTGTTTTAAAAAGCAAATATTTCACATTATGTATTTATGATCTTGCGCACTATGCAGTAATAGAGCATAATCTCTCCCCACGCCCTCATTAGCTCTCAGACAATAATCAATAGAGTTTCATAACGCACAGATGAATCCCCCACCGGGACCTGTGCTGGCAGAGGAAGTGAGCTTGCTTAATAGACATGAAAGTGGAAGGAGAGGAAATCACAGATCATGAGCCGCATGCCATTTCTGTGAGAACTAGAAATACAGTCAGCGCAATCGGTAATACTTTACTTGAAGGGGTGTGCATAAGACTTGACGCATGTTATGAATATGAAGGTTTTATGCATGTTTATGACAACTGTCATTCACTCTATTACATTTTTAATGCAAATATGACATTGTTTGAGATGTCTTTGCTATAACAACTTGGCAAACCAATACATCATAACCTCAGAGTCAGAGTCTTTGTCATGACAACTTGACATAGCAGATTAATTATCAAACTTAAAGGAGTAGTTCACTTTAAAAAAAAACGTTTGCTGATAATTTACTCACCCCCATCTCATCCAAGATGTCCATGTCATTCTTTCTTCAGTCGAAAAGAAATTAAGGTTTTTGATGAAAACATTCCAGGATTTTTCTCCATATAATGGACTTCAATGGGGACCAAACAGTTCAAGGTCCAAATGAGAGTTTCAGTGCAGCTTTAAAGGGCTTTAAACGACACCAGACGCTGAATAAGGGTCTTATCAAGGATCAAGGATTCAACACGAACGCGTGGGGGTGAGTAAATTATCAGCAAACGTTTTTTTAAAGTGAACTACTCCTTTAAGACAATTTATGTTGACTTGGTAATGCCAAGTTGTCATGACAAAGACACTGACAGGTTATGGTGTATTGGTTTATGTCAAGGTGTCATAACAAAAACATCTCAAACAATGTCATACTTGTATTAAAAATGTCATAATTCAGCAAATGACACTTAATGACAGTTGTCACAAACATGCATACAACCTCCTTCATATTCAATACATATGTCATGTCATGATCATGAAGGGGTCATGTCAGTCTTATGCACACCCCTTCAAGTAAAGTGTAACCGCTCAATCTTACTGCGTATGAAGGTGGGAAAAAAGAGCAGTGAAAACATCTTACATTCTCGTGTTTCATGTGTTTCAGCAGCCGCAGTTCTCTGTATGTGCGCTTGGCGTGGATGATGGACTGGAAGGGCCGGGACAGCTTCTTGACTGCGACCCTCAGGCCTGTCTTTGCATCCAGCGCCGAGCTGTGGGGAAAGAACACAATGTTAAGAATTCGATCAACATCGCAGACCACAAGATTACAGGAGACTCCTAGTTTCACAAGCACTGACATTACAGGAAAGAAACAAGATTACTAAAAAGCTTAAAAGCATAAAATGCTCCATTACCATAATAAAAGTGGTACGTTTCATACAGCAAGAGTCAGAACATGATTTAGCATAGGCAAATTACATTCTCAAAGGTCTCCCTCCTCCACAAACATGACTTTTTACAACCATCTAGCTTTAATAACACAGAATGTGCCTTGTTTGGAAAGCCTTAAATATCAGCATCCTTCAGCAGTGGAGGAAAGACCACATTTTACAATTTTATATGATTCGCCTCTGCCCACGGGACTTCAGGGACATATTTAAGAAAAAACATGCTGGGAAAAATGTATCTGAGATTGTGGGGATTACAAATCTGTAAAATGAACTATTAAAGCATTTGTGTTGAAAATGTGCTACATGCATGACATCAAATAAAACCGTATAAATGATCAGATAAATGTCCGTATTAGCAACCTCACAGGAAAACTGATTCACTGTCGGTCAACAACACTGGAATGACATCCGTGAATCCCACTAGCGACCTGGACCTTAAGAGGCGATGATGTAGAAGTAGTAAGGGTGTCACAATATTGATTTTAAATCGAAATTAATCCACAATCTCGAACTTCGAATTAAAAAATGGAATCGTCGATGCTGTCACGCCCCCATGTCACGTCCAAAAACGCGTGTGTTGAAGTGCTGCGAGTCTGTGGTCAACCTCCTCTAACTTAGCCACAGCCATTCAAAAGATACCAAGATACAGGAGACCCGTCGACAGAACGTGAACCCCCGTCCTCTTTCGTTGAAGTCGCAGGTGTGGATGTTTTTTTGGATTTCCAGTAAGTTTTGTTGACAACGCTCGCGCTTCAATAAAGCCACAGTTTGCCGACATCCCAAGTCTCGCGGAAGTGCGTGGAATAATTAAATCTTACGGCTTCCAAGATTATTGGCATTTGTCATCAAAAAAACAATATTATACAACCACTATCTAAAAATCTGATTAATAAAGGGCACCTATTATGCCCCTTTTACAAGATGTAAAATTGGTCTCAGGTGTCCCCAGAATGTATTTGTGAAGTTTCAGCTCAAAATACCCCACAGTTAATTTATTATAACCATTTGATAATGTCATTTTTGGGGCCTGTTTAAAAATGAGCTGTTTTGGTGTATACCACCTTAAATGCAAATGAGCATTTCTGCCTTTGGATGAGGGGGTAACTTGATACCTATGGCAGTCGGTAAGCAGAAGGGCTGAGAGAGTGAGAGACACGCTGTTTTGAATGTCATTGAGCGTACGTTTGAATGGGAATATATAAATAGTCTCTGATCAGACCCAGATGATGAAGAGACTCCGGCAGAATAAACACAAATGAGAATGAACCAGTACGTCTCGGTATGGTTATTTGATACATTTATGTACAGAGTTGTAATGTCGTTGAAACAATGAAGGATGGTGTTCAGATCACAGAGGGCGGGGTCTATGCCACAACCACACTGTCAATCAAACCCCTTTCTCACTTTCTACGTCACAAAGAGCTGAATCTCAGAACAGCTCATTCTGAGGCAGTGCATGTGATTTATTGAGATTGTAAAAAAACTTGTAAATTTTTTTTTATCATTCTAGGGTGGTTTTGCTCACACACTGCCAACACACATTTATGTTCAAAGTCAACACCATGTAAAAGTGAATTTTCCATAATAGGTGCCCTTTAAAAATTCAACAAATCATCTACATTACAAAACATCTGCTCAATTCACAAAGCATGGCTCAGAAAACGGTCATCATACCAAACAGCCTCCGGCCCCTATTCAGTTTTCCACATAAGCGCTGGAACAATGGAGGAGGCGCGAGCGTGGCGGCTCAGGCTTCTGCGGTCAGGAGAGCCAACGGGCTTTCAGGAAGTGTAGGCCAGTTTGGCGGATGGAGGAGCCTGAGTTTCTTGCACTATTACCATTCTCCAAAAAACACACCTCGCCAAAGCGTCTGCCCGCCCAGACAAATAATAACACACCGTCACACACAAACCCACAAGACACCATAACGGAAACAATAGCCATTTACAGTACAACAAACACACACTCTAAAATTAACAATTAAACCATTTATTCCTGTGATCAAAGATGCATTACTCCAGTCTTCAGGGTCACATGATCATTCAGAAATCACTCAAATATGAAAATGTGGGTAAAATTTTTGCATGCATAAATACAAAATATACACAAGGTTTATTAGAGTTAACTTTAAACTAAAACTATTAAAAACACTTCGGTTAATTGAAATAAAATATTACTTGCAAAAATTAAAATATGATGCCTTGGAAATAAACGGAAATATGTTTAAGTTGAAGCACTGTAATTATTAACACGGGGGGAAACTAAAACTGAAATAAAAATAAACTAAACCTCATTAAAAAAAAATGTTTTTGGACTGATAAAATGACAAAAAGCACATGCAAATTATGACAACTAAAAAAAATATAAAAATAAAAGCTAACTCAAAATATTAGAAAAACTAAATAACACTAATACACAAATACACGCAGGATATATAATTTTTTTTGTTTGTTTGTTCACTAAGGCTGCCGTTATTTGATCAAAAGTACATTAAAACTAGGGCTGTGCAAAAATGTATTGCAATTAATCGCATCCAAAATAAACGTTTGTGTTTACATAATATATTTGTGTGCGTTGTGTATAATTACTTTGTATACGGTATATAAATACACTAACACACGCATGTATATATTTCTATATTTAAGAAAATGTGTTATTCATATGTAAAATATTTATATTTAAATAATATATAAATAATATAATATAGAATATATATATATATATAGAGAGAGAGTATTTACATGCAAATAATTCTTAAATATACACATGTATGCATGCATGTGTTTATATATATATATATATATATATATATATATATATATATTGTGTAAAGACAAACTTTTATTTTGGATGCAATTAATCGCAATTAAACTTTGCACAGCCCTATTTAAAACATTATAAACTAGTATAACATTTTTTTTTTTTTTTGCATGAACGCACTGTACCATCGGATCACACCCTTGGAAAAATGTGTGGCCACGAATGAACATGCAAATCTTTGTGACGTAAAAGTATTGAAATGACCTGCGACGATAAATCACGCTCAGACATGCTACAGTTTTGACAGACACACAATGCCCACAGTGAGGAACACGGCTTTACAGTGCAGTCTCGCACTGATGTTTCTCTAGTCTCTTACATAAGGAGCAGTGCGTGACTCAAACTAGCCGGACGAGGGATATAGCCACAGCTGAAGTCTCTCCACTGCAGACGCTGATGGGTGTGGTGCTGTTTATGGGAGATATCTACTTACACACGCATTGTAAAGATGGCTACAGACTGAACATTAGGTACAGTTAGCCAGTGATATCTGCTGGAACAGAAGACAACACACCGGTACAGGACCCGTGTTCAACATGCATGATGGCTCTCGCCCAAAAGAAAGATCTAGTAGAGAGAGCGTCGAGCCAATGACTCAGAGCTGATTGTGAAACATGGGAAACCACCACAGAGCACAGGAAAAGTCCCATTTCTGCTTATCCTCTTTTTTAACTCAAACTAGGGCTGCACGATTTGGGGAAAATGTCACATTGTGATTATTGAGGTTAATATTGCGATTGCCATATAATAAACAAATGGATTCATGAGTCAACTTGCTTGGTTCTAAAGTAAAATGCACACACAGATTGGTGATCATTCTATGTATTAATGTGTATTTCTCAACTCAAAGTACTAGCAACAACAGCTACATAATTGATAACACATAATGATCAATAAACCATTGATGTCTGGATAAAAATGAAGACATTTTAAACATTAATTATAGCCATCCAACAATACAGTGATTCCATCACTACAATTGAAAGCTATCCACTTTTAAAATATTTATTAGGCTTAAAAAATATCCGCTTTTAATAAACCGCTTTTAAATTAAGCAAACTACCCATATTTACCTGTGCCCTTCCTGTCTTAACAGGTTGTAGATACACACAAATTGAATAAAGTTATCAAACAGTCTGCGCTGCATGAATTATAAATTATATATACACTCTTAGAAGAAATGGTTCTATTTAGAACCAGAAATGGTTCCATCCCCCGGCCCCCGCTTCATATATTGAACTCCAAAATGGTTCTTAGAGCCAGACCGATATATCGATATTATCAGCCGATATTAGGCATTTTCCAAACTATCGGTATCTGCAGTTATAATGGCCAATAAATGAATATTTCAAAAATAAAATAAAAACGGACGAAACACGCTTGAACCATGTCATGAGTGTTGGAGTTGTATAGTTTGTCCACCAGAGGGCGCTCTACACCGTCCTTGAGTTGGTCACGATACATACATTGCTTGAATAACAATTAAAAGAACATCCCCATCAGTTCTCTTAACTCAAATAAGCATAACAAAATTTGTGAGTATCATATCCAGTTTAAAAAAATAAATAAATATAATATCGGCCGATATATCGGAATATCGGATTTTAAAACCCAAAAATATTTGCATCGGTATCGGCCTCCAAAATGCTTTATCGGTCGGGCTTTATTCTATATAGAACCATTTTTTTTTTGGTAAAAGGTTCTATTGGCCAAGTATGGAACCCCAGGGTTCTATATAGAACCCAGAGGAACCCTTTTTTTAAGAGTGTATAGAACCTTTTATGGGTTCCAAATACGTAGTAAGGTTCTATATAGAACCTTTTCTTCTAAGAGTGTAGACTAATCCTCATTAAAGCTACAAAAGTTCTTTAGTCAAGAGCAGCGAGTAATTTTCTGGTTGACTCTTCTGACAGAACGCTTTATTCGCTGCTGGCCCTTTAAGAGCAGCCGTTGCTGAGGCGCGTTTGCGTTCACACAGAAGGCGTTCTGGCAATTTCCCG